TAGTTTTATAATACAAGATAATTTGTACGCATTACCACCTCTTGGACTTGGACCTGATGCGACGGCGACGGATGTTTGTCGGCGGGCCTATAGCGGCACAAGCACCGGCAACGCTTGGTGTTCCGCCTTTACCTTGACCAACATTGTATGTTATAGATATCTGTAACATTATTGATTAAAACATGCTTCAGATTTAATATTGTAGTAGGTACTTGCATTAACGATTAGATGAATTTAATTGTACGTACTAATCGTTACTATTGTCGGAATACTCAAACCCTACTCAATTTTAAGTCGCGCTTAACTATAGTTCTGTCTCTACAAATTCTTTGTAAAATGACAGAGATGGCACGATATTTAAATACGACTTAAAATTGAGTAACGTTTCAGTAGTCCGGCATAAGTCTCTAGGGCTATTATAAATTTCAGTTACGAAGGGTATTTGTTACTAGCCCGATCGGTTAACGGATACTTAACGAAAGGGTAGATACCTGCTAAAGCAGGCCTGCCCTAACCCGGCGTGTGTCTAAACGTGGATCCATGCCATGCGAGACACTATGTATTTTCTACTGTGTCTCATATCGGTGCACTCAAGCGGTTTTAAATGATTATACATTGGCTTTCAGAACCATTACCCGAGCATCGTATGTTTATTGACAAAATACATAAATATCATATAAAAGAGGTTGCGACTACACACTACAGTATTATCATTATAAAATAGTTTCTTCTCAGACTCTTAAAGGCACTATAAATAAAATATTTACGTAAGCGTTTACATAAACAATAAGCACATTTAGACATCTATTATGCGATATGATAATAAACAAAACATGACAGGAGTCTCCGCCTTAAACAGCGCGCAGCATTAGATATGCCTATTTGTTTATCACGAAGATCGATGACATTAGGTATATATTGTTAGGTACTTACCATCAGCATATCGATAGAGCTCAATATGCCCAATTTCTTATTGGAATATAGTAACATTTCTGTACCTAATAGAAAATCATGTAAAATATCTATTTATTGGGTACAATTCCAAACATGCTATCACCTACTCAGAATTTTCGAAAATACAGTCTTCGTAGAGATAGTACCTACACAATTTTAAGGAAAATTAATTGACAACGATTCTGGTATCTTCGTGAAGTTTTTCGGTCAGACATGGAGTGTGTCGCGGATGTGGACAAATGGACATTGTCTGTTGCAGGGTGCTGGTGTAAGCTACGGTGCCTGTTTACCATTAGATGACCCATACATAAATTTTGTTGCCCTCCCAGAAAATACATAAGCCTGAGGCCTTGTAAGAGTTCGATTTACGTTAAAAGTAATCGAAACGAGACCGCGTTAGGCGCTCTAATTGGTTGGTTCATAGGAGCCGGCCAATCAGAGCGCCGAACGCATAGTCGTTTCGATATTTTAACCGTAAATCTATCTCATTCTAAGCCCTCTGATCCTAGCAGGGTGGCAGCGCGTATGCGCGATGTAATACACGCAGGAAGAATAATGTCATGTGAGAGCCATAGCAGTGGTGTAGCTGTTAGAATATAATACTTTTTTATTTTTACTGATCATTTAGATTTAGGTTTTTTGCAATGAATTTGAAAAATAAATTTTATTTTAGGTTTATTTTTGTGCACACAAACTAAATGTCGTCCAACGTCTACTCTACGATTATATTACTCTAAAAGGGAAAATATAAAAACAACAATACAGATCTAAAATAATATTTATTTAAATTAGTTTATCCTTCAAAAGAAGCCAAAAATAAATATTTATACTGTAATACACTAAACATACATATTTGGATTCGACTGTTGATACCATATGTTGTACTTTACTATTCGAAAAAAATCTCCGTGGAGATCCTTAACGTGGCAAATTAAAATAAGTTGCTATTTACAAATAAACATACATACAGTACATAATGTACACAATACTAATTATTGCGTCGTTACACGTTTCGTACACCTCTGCGGACGAGGGCGTACTTACATTAACAATACATACAATGATCGTAAATTAATAGCTAGGCAATTGAAATACTTTTCTCGATCGATTTACGTTCGCGATAATAATATTATAGCAAATTACAATTTTATAACAACTTGAAGCATTTTAACACTTCACTACAACATCAATGCGTTTATAACAATAGTTCTTATGTGTGTAATATCGAACATTTTCACTTATACTAAATGTGGTTCAATAAATAAATCAATGAATTACATTTATTTAATCTAATTGGCTATAATGCAACCAGTTTCTAAATGACAAATCTGATCAGCAACTCACTATCAACTACAGAGTGGTTGACTTTGATCTAAGTGCAGTAGGAATCTATGAATACGATTAATAGTGCTAAATAGTTCACATGTAGATATCACAAAGTACTTCAGCATATGCTCGTATATATATATAAATATAACCATAACACATAGTAACATGGACAGCTAGACTGCAAAAATGTCATATACAATGTTAGAGTTCTCTGTGAAATGACTAATTATGTTGGCATGTTTACAGTATTTTCACTTCGTAATAAGCGTAACTAATGAACTTCACTGTTTAATTGAACTGAAATGAAGATGTAAGACTCATTACGTCATTTACATTTGAACTGATGACTGATGGCACCCTTCTGGAGACTATTTACAGATCCAATGTTTGTGATAGGATACTGTCTTTTATTTTCTTCTGGCAATTTGTCATAGACAAGGTATATTCCATAGCCCAGTGCCAACAAGCATCCTACTAGCGGCTGGAACATCCCTTATCATTTCACAGATAACATGATCCTTTATGTAACATAATATGCCACAATGAATGAAGGACAGCTGATTGTCCCTAGTCATGAAAGTGAGTGTTGGAATACTACCAAGTATTACAATCATTTGTATCATATTACAAGCAGCAAGATAGACTGGATTACGTTATACAACAATGATGACCAATTAGATAGTAATGGTAAAGTTTATGAAAATACTGCATTACTTTTACTTCTCCAACATATACTTAGGGATGTCAAATTTCACCTCAACTCCAGCTTTCTTGGCGAGCGTCACAATTTCGGCGAGCTGTACCACAAGCTGGGCAGCTTCATCGAGGTCATCGCGTGGCACCAGACGGAGTCCTGATTCGGCTATCAGTTTTCTCGCCTCATTCACTTTTGTACCCTGCCGAACAGATTATTATATTAATTTTCGACTAGACACACTATTTATTTACTAAATTAGAGATAAATCGTACCTGGAGACGGACAATGACGGGCAGTTGGATGTTAAGGTTCTTGGCAGCCGTCACAATACCCTCGGCAATGACGTCACACCTCATGATACCTCCGAAAATGTTCACAAGGATAGCTGTCACACCTGGATCCAACAGGATGATGCTGAAAGCTTCCTGCATGAGATAACGAATCATTAGATAAGAATACACATCTATTTACACTAATTTTGTGATGACAAAAACGTACCGCAACAGCTTGCGCGGTAGCGCCACCACCGACGTCTAAGAAGTTAGCTGGGTCGCCGCCATGCAACTTGATAATGTCCATTGTAGCCATGGCTAACCCAGCACCATTTACCATGCACCCAATAGTACCTATGAAACAAAATTATTTTTTTACAAACATGCCTAGAATACATTCGCACATACATTATGATTATCCAAGCTGCATGCACCTTACCATCTAGCGCAATGTAGTTCAAGTTATATTTAGCAGCTTTAACTTCCTTGGGATCTTCTTGTGTCAGATCTCTCAAACTGAACAGTTCTTTTTGTCTGTAGTCTGCATTGTCGTCGAATCGGAACTTAGCATCCAAGCAGAAGACTGAAACAAGTTAATTATTGTAAATATTTACTGCAATAAATATTTATTATTTGTCAACATAACATTATTATAGCAATTTGTGTAAACATTGAAGTGGCTCGAAATGAAGGCCAAGTACTACATTATCAAGTCATTGTACAGAGACACATGTTCATTCCTGACAATTTTAGACTCAATTTATTGCGCCGTACATTCTCTGTATGTCAATACACAAGTCATTACAAGAAGTTATAATATATTTATGAGCATATTGGGACTGTCTTGTTAATTTTTTTAATGCATTTTGTTAATTTTGCAATTCATATTGAAAGCGGTGGTGACTTTTGGTTGATTATCTCTGTAATTACTAATCATGATACGAAGTATTGTCATTTGGGCATTTCCCAATACAAATGAAACTATTACTATTACTAATTGAGAATAACTTAAAAATTATAAGTTTATTATTGACAGTGACAGTGTAGTGGTTTGATAACCACTATATATCACTTTCCACAACTACTATCATCAACTAATTTGTTATTTCCTGCCAATAGACAGATGACCTATTTACATTATGACCGTTGATTAAATGCTAGACGAATCAATCAGTTTGTCCTTCATAACTTACAAGAACATCTTTTTGCTACAACACATAGAACTTGGTTATTCCATAATGAAATTACTTACATTTGCCAGTAATAGCATCTTCAGCATAAGGGTTCACCTCAATCAGAAGCGCATCTTTCTTCAGGAAAAGATCATACATCTTTTTTACCATATCATGTGCTTCCGCAGTTTCTAAACCAATCTAAAAAAGAATATAATTAACTTTACATAATAGTTTTATTGATTCTTAATTTGTGACTTTTTTTATTAGTCTAATTTGATATGAATTATAGTTAATAAACTAAAGTACTAAATTAAGTAATTTAAATATGTATACCTTTTTCAAAACACGTGTGATCTGTTCATCTTGAATACCAAGTTTGATATCAATAGGTTCATAAGTGATGGCTTCAGGGTTTGTAGCTGCAACATCCTCGATGTTAACACCACCTTGAGATGATGCGATAATGACAGGACCCTGAAACAAAACTGGTATTAGTAAACAACTTATAGACAGAGTAAGCGATTTAAATAATTCGGAGTTTAATGACCTGTGATCTTGAACCATGCAGATTAGTAAATATGCGGAATTAATTAAATTAAATTACATACATTAAAGCTGCGTTCCATCATGACGGCGATGTAGAATTCTCTGCGTGGGAACTTGCGCTCCGTCACCATGACCTTGTTGCAGATGCGGCCCGCAGCACCAGTCTGTTTCGTAACTAAAAGCTGGTTGAGCATTTTGCTTGCTAACTTGCCAGCAGTTTCAGGTCTGTAGGCAAAACATTACTTTTAATATAGGCATTTATGTAAACAATATACTTTTAAAATAAAAAATATTTATTGCGACTTTAAATGATATTGTAAGTTCACTTACAATGTCATTTATTCATTATTCAAGAATTATGTTCCACATATACAGTGTCATGTTCATTACTAACATACAATCTAATTATGAACATGATAAAACAATGCACATCGACAACCGAGACATTGTCAATAACAATACAAACCCACCCAGAGATTGATGATTATAATCACTCATCTTTTGTTTTCATATTATGGTAAATTAAAGATTTTCTTTGAAAACTATTATTTAACTGTGTGATTTGATTTTCTTTGAAAAATACTTACGAATCAACCATTTTGACTCCACCCTGTAGGCCACTTTTGAAGTAGCCCTTTCCTCTGCCTCCAGCAAGTACCTAAAATTAAAGAAATATTATTTTGTGCACATTATTTTATTACTATTGTAATTAAACACATTTTTTAAAACAATATTGTTACATTACCTGAGCTTTGAGCACAATGTCTTTAGTGTTGAGCTCTGTGGCAAACTTGACAACTTCTTCAGGTGTGGAAGCCACATGGAACTTGGGTACAGGAATGCCATGATCACGCAACAATGTGTAGCTTATGTACTCATGGACATTCAAGTTACGGACTTGTTGTTGACTAGGATGATTTAGAGATGCAACCAATAGCTAGGAATAAGAAAAAACACAATAATTATTTGTTTCAAATAGAATCTAACTTAAGTCATACTGCTGATAATAATTTTGTATCATAATAAATGGTCCCAATTAAAATAGCTGTTGTAACAAGTTTCACTGTATAATAGTTTTATCATATTGCAGTATTCTTATTTTACTAGACAATCTTGACATCTTATACAAACAAGAGAGGTGATTTTGGCTAGTTTTATCACAGAATAATAAAATCTGATAACATCTAATCATGATACATTTGTACAGTCATTCATAATATGATTATTTTTTGCATACATTTTTCTTTAGACATTACAACTAAGCCCAATAGATTTTGATATAATTTAATAAGATCAGACACAACTCCAATTCCCAAGTAATAATTAGCTACAATTAAAATGCTACATACATTAACATAGTACTGGAAGATAACTAATGTGCAAACTAAGTGTGTGACATATGCATAGGTATAAATTAGATAATCACTACAGCAAATATTGAACTTTGTACAAATTCAAACATGTGACTATAGGATGTATAATACAGATTAATACTTTCTAGTTGGTTCATTTATTTATTATAAACAATTTATCATTTCCTACAAATGGTAGATATCTAAACATTATATTGTTATTATGACTTTGAAAACTGACAAAAAATGTCAATCAGCTATTTAGATTACACTATGGAGTAACTATAGAAAAAAGCTTCATGATTTTATTTATTTATAGTTATTTTGCCACCAATCCATACTTTCTTATTGGAAGGTAATAAAATCCAAGAAGAATTGTTATTTTTATTGATCTATTATGTTAGAACATATAGATGGAAACACGCCTTCATGAGCGCCTAAGTAAACAGTATATTATTTAGATATTTATAACAGGCATTTATTTTAAAAATTAAGGAATATGTTATGAAAATTACGTTCTTTACAAACGTACTGGCGATGACGTAAGGTCACAAAAGCTGAAAATGACAAGGTCAAATTTATAAATAAAATTTCTATTAGCTATCAAGGTCTATCATTAAATGAAGTGAAAAATATACATATGTACTTCTTAGGATATTATATTACGCCAGTAAATTGAGAAATTTTACATTTCAATTGAATTATTTTGTCCAATTGGACCACGTCAATTTTCTAATTTGTTTTTACATACTTCTAAGACAGAAACCATGGAGGTTTTGGACTCTAACAACAAAATAATAATTTCAAGAAAATACAATAATAATAAAGCCACTTTTGCAATTACCTTACTTCCATTTTTCAATAGAAGAGTTTGGGCAAGACCTAAAGGACGGGGAAGTAGAGTCGCCATTTTTGCACTACCACAGACTACAGACAGAATCAGCAGTCTTCAAAAATCACTTTTGTGACATTTTGACATTCATTTAAATGTTGCCAATATGTAAATAAAATACATCGTAGCCAACGTAGCTACCACTTTTCACTGTAAAAACTTACTAAATTGAAAAAAAAAACGTTTGTCTATTTTCTATCCTGAACTAGGTTCTGGACCTATTAATGATCTTTCATTTGGATTGAAATGATGCATTTTTAGAGTAGACCCTTCCTCTATACTTATTATACTCTTTAGTAGAGCTAGAGACCCAGAGGTGTATAATTAAATTACTAGATGTTCCCCGCGATTTCGTTCGCGTATAATAATGATTTCTGGCAGAAGTTAGGTTTTTTAATTACCATTCTATTTGCAGTACTATTGCAATTTTTAAGTGAAAAAGTATTATTTTTTAAATTATTATTTATATAAATGTTAACCATCTAATAATTGGAGTACATAACTAGGCTTGTTCCATGAAGCCCCCTCGTCTAGAGAGGACGAAAGGGACTGTCAGACTCTTATTGACTAAAACCAAACTAAAACCCACCCCGGTGTCCCAGAGTTAGTTACGTGTCAGGGGACACCTAACCACTACACATATCGACAACTATTGCATTGTAAGCTTTATTCAATCAGTTGAAGAAGTCCGTTTAATATAATTATAATATTCACATTTTCAAATAAATAATAGCAACTACGAACGAAATATAGTTTCTGGATGTAAAGAATAAAAACGAATAAATATTTTATTAAGATATATTATATTTGACCACTAAGCAATTTTTTTTCATCTAATTTGTCTGAATACTTAATCTTTTCTTCAGCCCATACTCCATTCCCTGAAAAGTAATGTTTCTTCTCCAACAAATATAGAACTAAACTTAATTTTTGAGTCTTGCTCAATGAATTATACCTAAAATTATCTTGAAATGTAGGTATTTGATCTTGTATTAGCTTCCTTTCTATTATATTAAGAGCTGCATATATTTTTTTCCAAGGATATAATAGTATAGGACAGTTTTCATAAATATCTTGATCAGAAAATTGAGTAGAAAGATGATCATACACAGATTTAACTTGTAGTACTGGTGTGTTAATCCAGTAAGGATGTCGTTTAATTACATTACGAATGTGTGTCATATTAAATTTCTTTCCAAATGACTGAGATATCCAAAACAATAAATCTTTTCCTTTTCCTAGCCTATCACCAGGAGCCTTTTCAAATACCTCATAGTGTGCTGAACTTCCCGATAGTACATTTAAACTGACACATTTTTTATTATTACTGTACAGCTTATTCAGTCTCTTGATTGCTGTTGTGTTGTAATATATCATTTTCAGAAATCTGGGATGGTTTATCAATGTACTGAACTCAGGTATATTCTTTGCTTGTTCTATTCTTTCTCTAATTGTTTCTGGAGCTAAGGTATAAACACTAAAACATCTTCTCTGTGCCTCGCTGCTAATGCCATACTCTTCTAAAATATTTCTTATTTCTATCATAGTGTTACAGTTTCTTGCAGCCAGTTTAGGATGCATTCGTATAATTTCTTTGATATCAATTCCACCAATTGATCGAAAATTACAAATAACATTCCTTAGATTTTCTGGATCAGCATGAATTAAATATAAATTAGATTTGATTTTATGATTAGGTATCATAATTTGTAGTTGTAGAATTTTCAATGTTTCATTAATATATTCTAATGGCCGATGTTTGATAGTAGGATAGGTGTTAACACCTCTGTAAAACTCATCACTTGTAAGGTCCAACACAAGCTCTAGATATCTTTGTATAATTTTCAGGCGTAATGCATATAATGTTGAATTCTCAATATCTTCTGAAATTAAAGATGTAAGTGATGTTGGCCACTGGGTCATGTAGCTTGCAAGTCTATTTTCAACATTTATGTAAGGATGTAAGTACTCTAAGGTCTTCAATTCTTCTACTTTCATTTGTTTAATTATTTTTAAGTATGATGATAAGGTCGAAATGGATATATTCTGAATTCCACATTCGTTCAATACTTTGTATCGAAACTTTAAGGTAACAGGTAAAATTGCGAAAAGTGTAGGCTCTTCAATTAGCGACTGGCAAGGGAATCCCAATTCATTTACGGTTTTGATTAAACTTTTGAGGTTGTCATTGTCCATTTTTGTTAAAATGGGATGTTTCATACATAAATAGTGTGCTTTGCTCTCACTTAAGTTTAGATATTTACTTAAAGTTTTCACATTATTAGTAATTTCCACATTCGTTGCACTACTACGCAAATATCTTCTACTTCCGTATAGGAGACAAAATAAATTTCTCTTTTTTGAATTCATGAGTAGGCACTGCATTTGTAATAAGTTAGAATTATATAAATTACTTATATAAACAATAAAACATTTTTGGTCGCGTATCAAAATAAGAGAAACCTTGTAGTTGTGCTTGTGTGTGATCTCGTCAGACATCAGACATCCCCTATACTTATTATACTCTTTGCATCAGACATCAGACACAGACAGAAAACGAGCTATGTTAGGACAGTAATTAGACATTTGACACTTAATAGTGAAACTAGACATTTGACACTTAATAGTGAAACTCTATGGTACTCACCTTCCTGAAATCTGCTATCTTTATTTATACTCTGTGGGATTTTTGATTGTACAATGTTTGAAATTTTTTGACTGCTGAAATGACATTTATTAAGTTTGGCCGCATTTGGCCGTTCGTTCGTTCATTGACATCTATGGGCGTGACATCAACAAAAGTTCAATATTTTTGATTTTAGATTTCAAATTAAAATAGTAATTTATCATGGTTAAATCTAAAACAGGGTTATTTGCCCTGGGGTTTTTCATAGTCGCGTCATTATTTGTGATAATTTCTTTTATTAGTCCTTATTGGCTAGTAACAGACGGCAAACTTAAAAACCCAAAGTTTATAAAAATTGGTACGTGAAGCGAACTTATGTGTATAAATAGAAAATATGCCCTTACAATAATTCTGATTTTCGTAATAATTTTAAATCTTTGTCATATCATAATTACAGGACTATGGGAAGTGTGTTTCAATGGTTTTGAAGAGGTCCATCATTGGTACGACACGGTATTTACTGGTTGCTGGTGGATATTCGAAGAGGAATACTACATAATTCACGATGTGCTTCTACCTGGTTTCTTCATAGCAACACAATTCTTTTTTACCATTACTATGTGTTGTGTTATTTTGTCAATGTTTTTGTCTTACCTGTATATGAAGAAAGACAGAGATGATGACAAATACCTTACACTCCTGGTCACTTTGGGCACAGTTCTTGTTATTGGAGGTTTGTAAAACTATTTGTTTTATGTTTTTAATGAAAAACACGAAATGCATACAACATATCTACCTAATTTTGACAAGCCATTCAACAGATATATTATTATAATTTTCAGGGTTCTCTGGAATTATCTCTGTGGTAACATTTGGTGCCCGTGGTGATGGACGTGACTGGATGCCTAACTGGGAACACAATGACCTGGGTTGGGCATTTGCTCTTGGAGTTGTAGGTGTTGTTCTACTTTTGCCTGCAGGAATACTGTTCTTGGTGGAAGCAAGGGTACAAAAGTATAAGAGACTTCATGAAATGCAGAGCAGGGAACCATCATCTTATACCATGCATGAGAGGAAGGTTGGGTATGCTGGTGGACATACTGACATATAGATATTAGGCATCTTTTTATACAAAATAATGACTCCGTCCCATCAGATCTGCAACTTTTATTACACTAATTTTATGTTATATTTTGATTAATACATATTTATGTAGTAAACAATTAACGTTATAACTAATTATTTTGAACTATTTATATTTGAAATGATGCCTCAACAATGAAATTGTCCGTCCAAAATATTTTACATTTTATAACTTGTAGTTTAGACTGAGTATACATTATATGTAAGTTTTTACAACAGTAGTGCTTTATTCTAATAGAAATAGAGCATTTTAGATTAAGCTACTAACTTTATTATAGATAAATTGATTATAAGACCAAATCAAACAATAAATACTACACATAGCTTCTAGAAAGCTTTAAGAATGAGAATGGCACAAGCATTTATTATTATTTTGGTACCATACTCTGTTAAATTTTCTCTAATTTTATTTTACAATTTCAGAATAAAAAAATAGAATCTCACTGCTATAATGATGTACCTGGTGGTATTACCATTTATAAATAACAAATACATACATTATGTCAGATCTAAAACCTCAGATAAGCATATACATTAATATACCTACATATTATCTTATTATACCAGCAGTATGTACTTTCCTAACCAAATTTTGTAATGGAATGTAAATCATGCTATTTGCACCAGTAACAAATAAATAATTTAAGAACTTGAATCTTTTTATATGTTTTTATAAACTGTGTGTCTTGAATAAATGTTATATTAATACATTTAAAGCTATTTTATTAGCTCAAACTTAGGCTCCCTGATCAAGGATTTATTAATGATATTTATAGTCGAAGGTACAGTGTGTTTGGACAACAGTGCCATCTTGGCTGCTTCAAACCCAATGAATATACAATGTGATTCCTTAAATCCAGAGAGCATTCCATGAATAAAACCACTAGCAAAACAATCTCCTGCTCCTGAAACACTCTCAATTTTTGTAAGTGGTTCAGTTTGATAAAATTTGGCCTCATTTTCATTCCCGACGTTCCTTAGTGTAATGATTCCTCTAGATCCCATTGTTACAATCATAAATTGTATAACATTTGAAACACTGGCATATAGTTTCACTATCTCTGCAAAATTGCCAGTACTGCTAATGTATGATGATCCAACTGTTTGTGCCATTGCACGTAATTCCGATAAATTCGGTGAAGCATATGTTACTTTGTATTTACCGCCGATGATTTTCTGAGCTTTTCTTCTGTCTGTTGGTTCGAAAAACACTGAAAGAAAATACAACAAATAATTAACAATATTTATTGAAATTGTTTAAGAGTTTAAAATTTTATTCACTTATAGATTGCATTCTATCAATTCATCGGTTGATTCAATTGGCTACCAATATATTGCGGGTTCGATTCCCGAAAAAATCTTGTAAATAACTAAACTAATAAATAAAACAGTTTTCCTACTACTACGCGTAGGAGTTATTTTCATCTGACTCAAATAGTTTGAGTAAATAATTGATAAAGTTTCTTTTATTTTCTTCTGATAACATGCTATCGCTAAAAAATCGTTGAAATTACGAAAAATCGGTGTCCATACTTTCATTCTACTGTAATTACATTCATTCACAGATTTAATAAACGTCATGTCAGTCACTCATTCTTGTCATTCGTTCGTTGTCAGTTGTTGGGCGTTGATCAGTCATCATTACAATTATTTGTTTTTATATTTAAAAATCTAAAAGTTTTGAATGATAAACTATTCAATTACATATTTTATAGTGTATGTGATAAACAGAAATAACGTAACCACAATAACATTTCATTTGATTGGACAACACAACTAGATTGGTAAGTAGGTTTGTGCACAACTTCGACTTTACACAATTTATAAAATTCAAATAATGGTATTATCAAACAATGTATTATAAACATTATTATAATTAACAGCATTGATTCAGAAAATATTTGAAATAACCCCAGTTGTATAGACAGTGTAAACAGCTTAAAACCTCTTCAAATGATTTAACTATATAGTAATAATTTATGTGTGTACCTAACAACCGTATCCTATACAGCTTCCTTACTAGCAAAAAACCTGAAAATATAGTAGAAATAGCAGATTACCCTTATAATCTTGGAAACTGAACACAAATCTCAATCAAATTTTGTTTTATTCATTATAGAAGACAACCATTAAAACAAGCAGATACTTCCCATAACCCTCATTCAGACAGGTTACAGTTGAATTATTATAGTTTGTGATTAGTGGTAGTAGAAAAATAAAAGTTTTAAAGTAAAACTGCTATAGTTTTCCAAGAAATTGAGGATAATGTATGTAAGTACAGTAAAGTCGACTGATTACAGATAATAAGTTTTATTTTTTCTTAAAATCTTTTCTGTACTTACATAAATTATCCTCAATTTCTTGGAATATTTTTTAATAGACATTAAATGCTAGATAGTAATAGTTATTCATTCGTACCTAGGTATTTAAAATAACTATTATTATATTATCATTTTCAGTCTAAAGAAAGTATTTGATATCTCCTTTGTCTATTATATTAATTGTTAGTGAATTATATTAGTAATTTTAATACTTAGTGGTAGGTAATAAGTACCACATTGTGATAAAAGAAAACTATAACTACATATTTATGTACCTTTAATTCACTAAGATTATATATATAATAATATTTATATAGATATATAATTATTCTAGAAAGGATTTGATTAATCATTTCCAAAAATAAAATTGTAGTTGAAAATAAAAAATGTTAAATGTGGTTATGCATATTTATGAGTTCTCACAGTTAAAATGCGTGTGAACATTTTGGCATTGTGTTTCTGGGTGAATGTTATGCTGTGTATTACACACAGTCACACACTGGCTTCATTGACTGTATTGCGAAACTCTTACAGAGGTATACAGGTAGTTAGGTAGACTTACTATTCATCTCAGGTGTTTGACCTTGTATGTGGTGTAAAGTGACATACACATATATAGTTGTTACAAATTGTTCTGACATTGAAATTAACTAATTAACAAGTAAAGTACAAACGGTAATGCTTTTGGTGTGTACTTATTTAGTGAGCTTTGTTTTGTTAGATTGTACTGAACAAGAACTTATTGTACTTGTGCAAGTAACTTTATGAATGTTTCTTGTGTGTTTGTTGCCACAAATTTTTATCTGCTTATTATTACAACAATTACAATTTTATATTATTACAATTACGTTGGTGATTTTAAACTTATAATATGAAATTATAAGCCCAGGTTTCCTCACGGTGTCTTCCTTCACCGTTTGTCAGTGATATCTAGATAATCTTAGAAAGTACTTATAACTCGGAAAAAGTCACATTGGTACGCACAGCTACACATCGAGCTTTACACAACCAGTATAAACTGAACGTTAAATGTTCGGAAAGATGATGCGACGCGACACCAGGATAAACTGGTTTTGTATAGATTGATGTGTAGCCGTGTGTACTTGCCATTGATAAGTTTCGAACCCTCAAGCATGAGAAGTGGGCATCTCTAACCTCCGGGGCACCACGACATGACAATGCAATGCATCATATACCTAACTAGCTTAGAAAGATTCAACCCATAAACCCGCTACCACCCGCTACGCCGCTTGCCGCGCAACATGCTGGGCGCGTGCCCCGAGCGCCCATGTAGTAAAGACGGAGTGCCGTCTTTACCTTCCGTCTGTAGCTACCCGCTACCCGTCTTTAGGCAGTAGCCTACAACAACAAAGTAATGAACAGTGTATAAATTTTTGTTATTAGATTTTGTACACACCCATTTTTTTCGTATTTATTAGTAGTCAAGTAGATAACTTGCCGTTTCCCACGACCCACGATAAGCATATGTTTCAGAACTGACGACGGGTCTTTCTGCGAATAGCTTTAACTCGTCGAGTACCGGTTTTGCAGACACAATTATAGAACAATAGGTTGCGGTCACCGGTGACCGCTTGGTGTTTGACAGTTTAAACTCCAAAAAGGATGCCATACACGCTAGGTTTTGCATGATGGTTTTAGCCGTGCATGCATAACCGACAGGCAAGCCCTAGGGTGTATGTGATGTCGCGGAGAACCTAACGGGTAACCGGGGCTCCGACTCGACGTGCAGGAGAAGGAACGGGGTGGTTTTTAGTCAGTAAGAGTCTGACACTCCCTCCCGCCTCACCCAGGCGGGAGCAGTCATTCGATGATTTTCCCCCCTTAAAAAAAAAGGGTGTATGTGATTCAGTCATCGGTGGTATGAAACTTGGTTATGCTTATGCTTGTCGGTTTTGCATGCAAAGTTATAACTAGAGACCGGATAATATGCAACATAAAAAGCTTGAAATATGCATGCAAATATGCATGAAAAATGCCTAAAATATGCACGAAAACTGACAGAATATGCAACATTAAATGAGTTTTTTTTGTTTTGTAAATATTATTCCTTTAGATTTAAGTATTTTG